AGACAAAAAAATAAATTCTTTCTTTCAGACATAAAAATATCACCATAAACTTGACACAAAACGTTCACTTACGCCTTATAAATCACATCAGTCGCATTCAAAAGTTATCATGTTTAAAATATTGAGCAAATAACTTGCAGTCAGTCCGGAGGCATGCGTGTAGCAGTGATTCAAACCTTTGCACACATGACCAGAGGAGACGAGTGCATGAAGTGTGTCTCTCAGTAATGCAAACTGTCATTTCTGTGTCAGCAGTGAGCTGACCCCGGCAACACAGTCTGATAACACACGCTATGAAGGGGGCCTATCCCATCTACTCGTCCAACATTTACAGTGCCATAAAGCGAGGCATGTGTAAAAACAAACCCAAAATGCTTTTTCATTGGCGTTGCGAGAATGAAATGATGTTGTTTGAGGGTTATTGATTCTCAGGGAGGTATGATGAGGCGACTAATAGAAGCCTTATAGTCCAGAGTGAATGGCAGCTCAGTCACTTGATGTAGACCGCATTAAGATACATGTCGGGCTGTGCTGGGAACAGGGGTCTATTGTGAGGGAGGGGCAGCTGGTCGGAGGAAACTGGGATGGCATTGTGGGCAGGTCTCAAACATCTCATATACTGGGAAAATGGCAGCTCACTTACTGGTCCAAAGGCCAATCGTTGAGTACACTGTATAAAAATTGTAGTCTCATAGACTTGAATTGAACGAACAGGCAAAAATGGCACACAACCAACTTGAATACTGAGTGAAACTCTTGATCGTGTGGATTCCTACTTGTAATTACTGGATTTTGAGATGAGCAAGGGTAAATGGTCCTTTATCTTTTTCAGAAGAAAAAAAATTGACCTCCCAGAGGTCTTTCATTCAGCATTAAGTCTGTGATATTTTTTTCAAACTAACACTGCCACAAAACCACCCGCACTCAACAAACAAAAACTATTCTTGGAATTCCAGAATATGCAAAAAATATTGTATTGAAATGATCCTCCATCAAAGATTTCATTACATGCTCCATAAAGACTGTAATCTACTTAAGGAGGCTTGTGAAGACTACATAATCAATCCCACGAGCCATTTGAAATAGAAGGTGGTACAACAGTCTTGTCGAAAAATTCATATTAATACGAAATGCTGGACCCAGCCCAGCGATTTGTCTAAATGGCTGAAAGGATCCTTCTTGGCACGAGACAGTCGGGATGTTTCATGCTCCGTTACAATCTTGTAATCAAACAATTTACTCCAGCCTAAGGATCAGTGTGCCTCAGCTGAGCAGAATGACTTACCACCTCTTCAAATTGTAAGTGATTAAATAAGTAAAACATGTCATTTTACATTTCTTAAAAGTATCAAACACAACAAATCAATCTTGTAGACTGTAGAATCATTAAGAAAAGTGCATATTTGCCTACTTTTAGGGAAGAGCATGAACACTGGTGGGCTGTCAGAATCACTGACTTGCACTATAATATATTTTTCCCATGAATGAGTATTAAATTATTCCCAATAGTTCATTCTCTTAATATCATAGCTTTTCTCTTGGTTGCGCTACTTCCAGTAGTGTGTTTTTATGTTAGAGCTTGTATCCAATCATATTTCAGCCATCATGCGTTGCCAGGGTCAAATAAATCTGCCTGGAGGCCTTCAGAATCGACAGAGCTAGCGCCTGTAGCTTAAAATCAATGGCAATGAAACCATTTATTTAACCAATCAGATAATCAATCAGATTTAATCAGCCAATCAGATTTCGCTTTGACTGCAGAGCGGGGCCACCTTTACGACAGTAATTGAAGTCTTCTTGAGGAAAGAAATAAGGATGGAAAAAAAAATATTTTTTGTGTAAAAAATAGTGTCTTTTTCTTATAAATTTATGATCGAAACTTCATACTACTGTAACGTCTGAAAAGGGACTATTGTAACCCTTGAACGACAAGATAAGGGAGACTCGTTTCTGAATTTATAATAGGATTTGGAACGCAAGAACCACTGTACAAACGCACCAGCCGAACTCACGCACTCGTTTCTCTTTTCCGAATTCACCGCATTATCCAATAACTGCCGGTGCAAAATAAAAATAACAATTATAGAGAGTCTTTGTGCTGAAACACTATTAAAAGTTATTAATTCAGGTAGGACAGAAGGCCTAGGTGTGAAATGTACGGCCCGCCACTAAGTATGAATATTTCTTTCCAATAATGTAATCAAAAAGTTTATTTTCTTGTCTGTAAATAAACAAAATTGTCAGATTAAACTTTTTTTTTAAGCCCTGACTCGAATAGCACCTTTGGTAGATCCCTCATGCATCAGAGAAGTAAAGGTTGTGGAAATGTCAGTTTCACGCTCTTGGAAACACCACACGGGTTGCATTTTCATTGATCCACAGCAAGGACAATGCACAATCAAGACACTGTATGGCCAGACACCAGTACAGACAGGTTAGATTCGAAAGAAGATCATGTTTTTGATGAGAAAAAAAGCATTAGACAAGATAGACGAATCTGAATGATGTGAAACACCAAGCACTGAACTCCAATCTCCCTCAAATGGTTAAAAAAAGTGACATTTGCAATTAAACATTTCACAATCACATATATCAGTATTTGCTGGGGAAAGCCAACCAAAAGTAGACAGAAGTAACCACAACAATTATATCGACATGACCTGCAGTGAAGAATACATCAAATTAAATTATACTCTCCATAACACCCAAATCAGTACAGTGTATGGTTAAAGGCCAGACTGGAACAGCTGCGGGAGAAACTGTAGGATTTACGCTACATGGCAAAATCTTTCCACTCGCTCTTCCTTTTCTGTTTTCTCATTCATTCTTTGACTTCACCCACACACACCATTCGACACTCTCTTGCAGCGCTGAGGTATTTTATGGCGCCCGTTCATCATCATTCTTGTTGCCTGGCATTGATTACTGCGCTGTATTTCAGGAGTTGCTCCTAAAGCAATGATGATGAGCTAGTACATAAAGAAAAACCCAAGTTAACCCAAAAATATCTCCACCAGCATACAAAGGAGCATTTTGCTCACTATAATGTTGTTGTTGATGCAGTATTAAAATAAAACTCGACGCCATGGGGGTTTTATATGAAGAGTTGCATGCGAAAAGCCATGGTGAGCGGTGGGGGTTATGGCTGGGGGGTGGGGGTGGTCGTCTACCACTGACCAAACAGTAAATTGATTGTGGCAGGTCAGAATGAGGTCATGCAGGGATGTTCTGGAGTATTCTCACCTCCAGCTGACCTCCGGTCACCGTCATTACACTGCTCGAAAGTCGTTTTGTCTTTTAACATTAATTTTAGTCAATTTGGAAACAAATCCCAGGAAATCAGAGGCTTGAAAGTAGAATTGCTATACTTTGCTCTTATCAGAAAATAACCTGAAGGAGTGTTTTTTTGCTTGCTGATGAATTTACCATCTATCTATCTATCTATCTATCTATCTATCTATCTATCTATCTATCTATCTATCTATCTATCTATCTATCTATCTATCTATCTATCTATCTATCTATCTATCTATCCATCCATCCACCCACCCACCCATCCATCCACACACCCATCCATCCATCCACCCATCCATCACCCACCCACCCACCCATCCATCCATCCAACAATCCACCCATCCATCCACCCACCCATCAATCCATCCACCCACCCATCCACCCACCCACCCATCCATCCATCCATCCATCCATCCACCCATCAATCCACCCACCCGTCCATCCACCCATCAATCCATCCATCCATCCATCCACCCATCCATCCAACAATCCACCCATCAATCCATCCACCATCCAGCCACCCATCCACCCACCCATCCATCCATCCACCCATCCATCCACCCATCCATCCAACAATCCACCCATCAATCCACCCATCCATCCAACAATCCACCCATCAATCCATCCACCCACCCATCCGTCCATCCATCCATCCATCCATTAATTCATCCACCCATCCATCCATCCATCCAATCTCTTCGTTCAAAGTAAAATGTAAATATATGATGTGCATTGTGATTCAATGTACATTTATAAAAGTTGGTAAGAAACAGAAGTTGCGATAGTCTTTTCTTCCGTATTGTGTCGTATATCCGGCTTCTCAAACAAGAAAAAAAATTTAGACCTTGATATTACATTTCATGGTGACTTTATTTTACTAATCTTCATTATATAAATAACTAAAAAATAAACTAGCAAATAAACAAAAGTGGAAGCATCTGAGCTGAGCTGGATTACTGAAAACATTTCTTGCTAAAATAGCAGCTAAAACCACAATCCAACTCTAATCCACATTTTGGACTGAGTCAACAGTTGTTGGTTGAGTGTGAGAACGTTCCAGACACTGACCATGCTTGGCATGAGAACCAGTCTGACCACAAGAACAACATGAAAGAAATAGCTTACAAAATCTGTAGCTTGCAAAAAAAGCAGTCTTTTCCCACATAATCAGTTGTCTTAGATCTGTAGTCGTGCTGGAATCACTAGAATTTGCTGTGACATAGCTTTTGGAAAAGGCAATTAGATGCGCTCTCAGCACTGCTAAACATTCGACTAGCCCCGTTACCATGAGTTCACAGGGTTAAAAGAACATCTGAGCGAAGCATCAATATGGGTAGAAAATATGTTTTGTAAATAAACAGCCTGCTATACTACAAAGGCTCATCACGCTGACAAAACGGAAACTAGCAAGTAAAGATCATCAATTTTACGCTTGAAAACGCAGTTCTTCAGACTTGCTGCCTTTCCTTGCCGAAAGCACTTTGAAACACCAAAGCAGGTCCGAAGCAATTTTCAATTTCACTTCAAAACCAACCAATGTGTACAACCTCCCATGGTACACTTTTGCTGTTGAGTGTTAGCTAAATTTACTAAAATTGCAATATTAAAAAAATAAAAAGACCCTAAATGTGGATTTGCGACTGCATTGTTGAGGCTTTTCGAAAACAAAAACAAAAAAACAGCTGTAAATGGTTTTCCACTCTTACCTTGGTGATGAGGATGCGGTATTGCTCTAGCAAAGCCTGATCGTTGTGGCAGCCAGACAGGAGCTGCCATACTTCAGCTCGTAAGGCCTCTGGGATCCCAGGCTTCACCAGAGCAGACAGACCCTTCGGTCGCACCAACAGGTTTCCTTGCCTGACAGGTGGAAGACAAACGGAGTTCGTTTTCTGCAGTTGTGTTCAATATGGACTGTGCACTCCAAATCTGGCCATACTACAAACTTAAATGTTTTAACTCAAGCCAGGTCTCACCATCTCTTGAGGATCCCAGCCCAGGATTCCAGAATCATCTCGGGACAGTCCTTTGATACGTCTCCTGTCCCACTATAGATCTCACTGTCGCTATCTGTACAGCGAGACAAAAGACAAATGTTTGTTACCGTTTTGTTTTGCCAATAAATACGAGAAATATAACAATAAGAAAAAAATAACACCACAAAATTACTTGTATGTAGCGGTAAACTGATGCCTGAAGTTAATGAACTCAACCTATACCAATATGAGATAAATAAACATAATATTGCAAAACCATAAGTGAACTTGCACATTTACTAGTACGTAACTTTTGTTCAAGTAATGATAGACAGTAAACTAAAGCATGGATAATTCACAATACTCTTACAATAGTGTGTTTTTGTGTTTACATCCAGTGTTTGTTTTTGTTGGATGATAAGTTTAAATGATAAAATAGATGGGTTCATTTTGGACTTCATCATCAACTTAAATATTTCCAACCGACTAAAATCTGAAGGTAGTTACTAAACATTAATAAAAGGAAATGTTTTCAAAACACAAAAACTATGACTAAAAGATGTGTCATTTTCACGATATTTTGGGAAAATTTTGCAAACGAAAATGATCCATTCATTGACAATAGTATAGTGATGTATGAAACACCACTCACACACAAGTCACTTTGAAACCAAGCAGCTTTCTGTTTGTTAACAAGAATTTACGTGACCATATGATCCATTATGAACAATTTATGTGGGGATATTCAAATTAATTAACCAATCAATAATACCCTTGATCGGCACTACCAAACGTGGATGTTTTTCCACAAAAAAACTAACATTGTTATAATGTTTTGATTGATACTGTGAATCTTTGATGCAATCTACGTATATATTGTGAATAGCGCTATGGACTTGACTTGACTCGTGACTTGACACTCGTGACTTGAGACGTGACTTGTGACGTGACTTGTGACGTGACTACAAAATCAGCTTGGGAAAAATGTTCATCGTAATGAAATTCACAAAATTCTACATCACATGGATTCCAATAGAAATGACTGGATTTCGCCATGGGGGAATGTTTCTACACCTTTAATTTTTTTTTTTTAAATGATTTCATCACTTATGGCCAGATTCTGCCGCCACACTTTGAGAGACACTTAAATGTAACCAATCATTATTAAGAACTAAAAGCTCAGGTATACTTCATTTTCCATCTTGTGCACAGTTAAATGTGCAAGCCTTTCAGCGTTCATAAAGTGCACACTAGTAGATCTTTCTTTTCAAGCTGTAAAATCAGTCCCGACGGTTTTGTACGGATTAAAAAGGCTGCATCCAAAATCGCATACTGTATATGTATGAATCAAGAAGTAAAATAAGTTTTGAATAAGAAAGTTATTTTTTAATAAGTAATTACTTTGTGACAGTTAAAAAAAGGTATGTTCTACAGTAAGAATATAATTTTTACATGTTGTCATCATCATATGACCTACCAGCATCAATTGCGTTGCTTCACTTCCATTCACAAATCTCCTCATGGGATAGTTAAGTGCCCATCGTATGCGCATTTCAGAATATCAGTGGAAGTAGCAAGTCATCCGTACACTGTGAATTAGGACCTACTAATCTTTTCACATTTGGTTTCATATATTAGGGAAGAATGCGATTTCAGATGCAGCCTAAAACTACATCACGCAGGCGGTCCACGTGCCATAGCGAAACGAGGACTAGGCTGAGAGTTTGGTGAGAGTCTACACCATAGGTCTCAAGGTACAAGATATGTATGTTGTAGGCAAAGATCACTCTTCAACTCATTGCTTGGCATCACTTCGAATGACAACATTCGGATATGTGATGCTGCACGACTTACAAATTACACAATCGTCCTTGCAGAATCCAGACCAGAAGTTGAGTTATACGCCATACACACACCTGCATTAGTCAGGGCCTTGGAGTGCCAAGATTACCGTCACGCCTTGAGGTGATAAAGAAAATGTCTCGGACTTAATGTCTGCAAAGGTCATTAAGAGCCGACCAGCAGACTCTCTGCCCATATCTCAAGGTCCGCGTCTGCAAAATGGCCGCCCATAAAGATGTTTGTAGAGGAAATGAATGGCACTGAATCTGGTGGTGACAACTATGTAAGACCAAAAACACTGGGAGTGCTGTGATTAAACACATGGTAATTATGGCAAGAAGAAGTGGGTTTTAATATAAAGATCTTCGAATACAAAAAAAAACAAAAAAAAAAAACGTTTTAGTGCTGAAAGCAGAAATGAATTTATGGGTCACCGGAATAAAGGACTCGCAAGGCACTGCTTTTTGAGCCCATTTACAATGTTCACGACCTCCAGCAAGAGCCTCAAATGCTGTACGTTTTACAATCCCCGATGTGAGGTCTGGAACACAGTGGTTTCTTTTGAAATGCTTTTAAAGGGCTTCTTTTTACATTTACTGCACAAGTACCTTGGCAACGTTGCAAGAAGTGAGAGAGATAGAGATAGGGAGAGAGTGAGAAAGAGAGAGAGAGCGAAAGGGAGAGAAAGACAGATCAGCCTTGAGCAGAGCCTCCGTCGCAAGGTGACATGGCGGTCCGGAAGCAGATGTAGGCGGATGAATCTACTTTTCCATCTGGCTCCCCAATAGAGCTCAAATGTTAGAGAAAAATGGCGAGAACGAACACTTACAAAGAAAACAAAGACTTTCTTGTACAGACCAGAATAAACTGCACAAATTAATAGATGAATAAAAATAAATCTTTCATTCAATTCACAAAAGAAGAGAAGCTACGCGAAATAAGTTGCGATTGGTTAAATGCAACCAATTGGTTAAAAGCACTGGCACATATTGATTGGTCAAATCGCCATTAATATACATTTATGTATGTTTATATATATATATATATGAAGAGTTCAGATGCAAAAGCCTCTAAGTGCCATTTGAAATTTTCTTCTAGAATGATCATTTTTATCAAGCTTGTATGTTTAAGTTCAGTGATTTCACTTAAATGGCAATGATAATTACCTATTAATTGTTATTTAAGTGAAATTACTGAACTTAAATATACAAGTTTGATAAAAATCATCATTAAAGAAGAACATTTCAAATGGCATTTAGAGGCTTTTGCATCTGAACTCTTCATATATATAACTGTTTAAGACATATGTGCTGTTGTATTGGATCTCTGGTCTTTTTTTGTTGTTCATATTCATACATGTTTCAAATGATTTGAGTTGCAAGAGTTCAATTAGTTCTACATTCTTCATGTTATCAAATATGAGATCTGCCCATGTGAAAAAAGTATTTGCTTAGCCTATGGAAATCTATCCGTAACAAGACATATTCGCATTTGACTTCAGCTCTGTTTTGCCAACATATGATGTCCCTGTATTTCCAGAAATCTAAAATACAAACAATCTCCAAATCTGGCAACCTTCAACTTTAATAATATTAGCTATGTAAACAGTCTTGCATTCTTCTCAGCTCCAATTATACTATGCAAAACGTTCTAGAAATATTCAGACAGCATTTATCCCATAATGAATTTAAAATATGCAACTATCACGCTGTTCACGGACATTAGGTAGTAAATAGTGCAGAACAGCCCTATAAGTGATATTTAAAATGCTACTCAAACCCATGTAATCATTATTCCATGTTGTGTGAAAAGACCACTTGAGCAGAACACAAGACAACAGAAGAAAAAAGAAAACGCGGCGGCCAGTTCCAGGTGGTCAGATGACACACAGAGACCGAGAGCCAATAGCACTTAACCAAATTGGAATCCATTCTTCTGAAATGGGCGCTGATAACCACTTGAAAGACGCCAGGGTTTCACATCTCCGGCTTGTGGCACGCTGTCAAAAACATAGGCCATCTCCGCTTGGCGAAAAAGACAAACGGCTGATACACTTTACCTCGAGCTACGGGCCGAGACTAAATTAAAGCTGGCGATGGATTCATGCTGCCAAACCCCAGGCAGGAAAAAGTAAGGGACGCGAATGTTGATCATGTTAAAATTTGGTGGGGGCAAAATCTGGACGGATGATCTCATTCACTTAATGTGTAAGCATTGACATATAAAAAATAAAAAAAAAATAGCAAAACAAATGGACCTGCTAAAGCTTTGCTGCCAAGGCAATCGTCCGCACGTACACACATAAGTTTGCTCCCTCTCACTCTGAACAGCCATCTGAATAAGTTTAGAGTTGGTCATTTTTCCTGTATTTGTGAGACTGGATGGGGGTGAGTTTGACAAATCTGTAAACTCACTGAGAAACAGAATTTTCCTTGAGCTTTTGACATCTAAGATTATAAGAATAATATTATAAGAATACCCTGTAAGTTTCAGAACTGAAATCATCCTTGTTAGTCCAATAAAAGCTTTTATTGACACCAGCCTCAGCAAACGACTCGTTTTTCAAAGTGGGGAACTATGACGTCAAAGAGGATAAGGATGGTTTAGCCCCGCCCACTGATTTGCACATTACACGCATAGCTAAATAACATTGGCCTAACGCTACCTTGTGATGACAAACCGGATTGAGCTACCGAGCAATACACAATATTGTGCAGCGCCTGTTTGTGGAAGAAGACTGTCGTTGCATAAGCGTCCTCTGGATTCCAGCTGATGAGGTAAAACATCGTCCGTTTGTTCGCTTCATTTCACTGAGGATTGTCTTGTAAATAAAACTGGATTTGCAGACCGATAAAGATTAAAGAACGGTGCTGTGCTGTCTATATTTAATCTGACAGGAATTGTGCTCTGGGTCGAACATGTATGGGCGAATCATTTCGGTTGCCATTTTACAACATTGGACGTTTCCAGAACAATTTCCCCCAAGTGCATTGACGAGTGAGTTGAAACTCATTATAATATGCAAAACTGTTATCCACTCACAGGAGTGGGCGTTTACTTCCAAGTCTTCAGTGCGAGACGCCCATAAAAAGCGAGCGTTTTTGAGCTAGGCTCAAAACTAGGGTAGAAAATAGCCTATTACTTATTCATTTTGATGTTTTTGAATTCAAAAACCAAGCGAAGGTCATAAGTTGACCTCAGACAACAATATAATAAAATTTAAAAACCCAGTTCACGACCCCTTTAAGGTATCAAGGTACAATCACTTTTCGATCCAATCGTATTAAAAAGTATAATAATTCTGTAAAAAACGAAGAAATGTCCATTTTGATTTCATGGCGACTTTAAAGTCAGAGATAGCGTGGAAAATGGTCCAATGAATTTAAAAGACTAACATCGTAAGTGGACTTCAGCAGACTACAAAAGTGTAGGGTTCCTTTAAAGGAGTTCACCTTAAAATGGAGGCCTCAAAATGGCAACAAACATAAAACACAGAAAAGCACTCTGATAAACTAGGCGGTGACATACCTTCCTCTGGTTCCTCTTCCTCCGTGGAAGACTGCAGGAGGCTACGACTTCCAGTCGCACATTCTGTGTGTTTCTGCAGGCTGACCACTTCATAAATGGCATCTCCCTGGCTGCCCTTCACAGTGCCCTACAAACATAGAGAGCAAAAACATATATATTAATATGTGTGTGTGCATTTATATACATAGTTATATAAAGAAATACAAACTTTATGAATGTAATATGTCAGATATTAATATAGATATACAAGAGCGTTACTATATTCACAATAAATTATTGAAATGATAGTGTAAATATTATAAAGTAGGAATTTTCATTTATAGATGAACTGTTCCTTTAAGAGGCAAGCGCTCAGCAAAAGCGTAGCATTCAAAGTTAGCTTCACCTTCGCTACTGCTTCAGGGGAAACGACAAATACATAATTACACACAATTAAAACAAGTGGCGATAGAGAAAGAGGTTTGCAGAGATTACACCCTTACTACTCCGCTTCAAGTAACTCTTACAAACATTTCTATTGACACTGCTTCCCTCGCACCATGTGGCTCTTATGTAAACCAACGTTTCCAGTACTACAGGCGAAGAATGATGTTTACAGCAAGAATAATTATACGCTAATTCCTCGCACCTAATGAGCAGCGTAAACAAATACGGAATAATAAAATAACGTGGGGAATGGGCTGGGTCTATCGCTAACGCCATAATATTATCTTTTAATTAGCTTTTAACTACAGCCCAGGCATTCTTTCTCTCTGCGATAAGATAGCTACGGAGGCAATCAGGCAGAGATGCAGGCTGCAAGCTCTAATTACTTGAGCATGATAATGAGCGCCAGGCCTCTTATTAAGCTACGAATTATACAAAGCCTGCATTTGCCGCTTCACAGCTTCCAGGAGTTACTGCCCCTATTCACCCTTCACAAAATCTCACTTCATTCCTCAAGGTTTGTTCTCCATCTGCGCAGCCACTATATCGCAGTCTAGAACGGATCATAGGCGGTTTACAGGCTTCATGAGAAATGGGTGAATCTTAAATCCAGCCGAGATTGTTTCCAGGTCATATTTCAACCCCTAAAAATTAGATATTTTATTTTAAAACCCTGATAACTAAAAGACTTTTGGCACCATCACAATATTTTCATAACAATTAAAGGTGATATATATATATATATATATATATATATATGTGTGTGTGTGTGTGTGTATACTCTATATATATATATATATATATTTATATATTATATATATATATATATATATTTATATTTATATATATATATATATATATATATATATATATATATATATATATAATAAAATAATAATAAATATATTAAGGAACCGGTTTCAGAGCAAGTTTTTTTTTATAATAAAATTATTTAAATGATACACCTTCAAATCACCAATTACAAATAAAAGTATTATTACCTTTAATTGTTAAAAAATTATTATAATAATATATATATATATATATATATATATATAAATGATTTACTTTATCAATTATTATCACCTTCAATTGTAATTATACAATTAAAAAACTACTAATTACTTAATTTAAAAAAATAATAGAAAAAAAAACATTATTTATTTATTTATTTATTCATTTATTAATTTTTTTTTGTTTTTTTTTTTTGGGGGGGGGGGGGGTATTTATTTATTTTATTTCTTGCTTTCATTTTTACCAATTATTTAATTGACGTTATCACCTTTAATTGTAATGACAATAATGAAATAAACTAATTTTACCCCAAAATTCATCAAAATATTTCTGTGTAAAGCACTTGAGTTTAGGGTTCAGCATCTATGAATAACATGTAAATGTTTTTGTGTGAATGCGTGTGTGGTTTTGGAGTGTACCTGTTTGAGTTTGAGGTAAAACGTTTCAGAGAAGGCCTTCCTGCTGAAATACCAGAACCTCTCATTAGCCGGATAGACCCGCACTAGCGCCTCCATAAGGAACCGAACAGGTTCTACAACCTCAGTCACCACCAGGTCCACTGCCACAGTCATGTAAACCTGCTTATCTGGAGAGGGGGGAAGTTCACAGTTAAAGACAAAACTGACTCGATGTACGCAGGGAAAATATTAACCAGTAATATCACAAACCCACTTTTCATCATCCAATCAAATTCAAACAGATCACCCACACTATTTCCCCATTGCATAATTCTTTTCATGGAAGTGTAAATGTTTCAGTCACGTAACGTTTCATCTGAAACAAAGAGTCGAATCAGACATACAGCAAAAAAAAGTAACATTTCTAAAACTCAGGTTATACATCTCCAGGCGTTCTGGGAACTGCCAATTCTCTCTCAGGTGAGCCCTATAATTACAAAACAAACCAGACCACTGATAGAAACAAACCACAAATCAGTGTAAACCAGCCTGTTTCAGACTAAGGGACTTTTATTATTTCAATTAACAGGAAACAAGAACGACAATAGCTACAGATTTATGAGGGAATCGCTGAAAATAGATTCCAATTACGATAGAGTCAGGTCAGAAAAGGTGCTGGTGAGAAAGATGGGAAGGTAAATAATAGAAGATCTGTGGTGGGTCTCCATTGACACTTACAAACGCACACAAAACCACAATGAGGTCTGAGGAACGTTTTACTGAGAGTGTAATAAAGTGTAGACTTGAAATGAAAAACTTGTTTTTAAAACTGAGGTGGCAATCTGAATCAACCAGACTGGAATTTAATTTCTGAGTAAATTCCATATAATTTCACTACAGAACATTAAAGCTGCAGTTCCACTGCTTCCAGTTTGGCCTCATACCAAATCAACTATATATACAGTATACTATGATGAGGATTACAAAAAATATTCCAAAATATTTACTGGCGGCACAAGGTATTACGCAGTAATTCTAATCATCCTGCACATAATCTCTTCTCCCAACTTCCATCAGGGAGACGTTTGCAGAGCATTCCAAAGTGCACATCACGTTTCAGGGATAGTTTTTACCCTCAGGTAATAAGGCTACTGAATGATAGTACAACAGGAAAGAGGGTTGTGGTTTGAGCTTAGTTACTTTATTTATTGTGCTTGGGATGGTTTTTAATGTTATTTTAATTGTAATGTATTGATTGGTGCTGAGAGAGTGCCAAGGCACATTGTATTTCATTGCTGTGCTGACTAATATGCATATGACAATAAACTTGAACTGTTAACTGTTAAATAAATATTTATAAAATGTGACTTAAATTGTACAAAATCAAACATTAGCATTTATAAATTATCATTTTAAACCTTTTCAATTAAACAATATAAATCATATAAAATTAAAAGTTTGTCAATGAATAAAAAGAACCTTTATGTATACGTACATTTCATTTACTATAATTAAATTGTATATTGTATATTAATGAAATTATATATAATGTATGCTTAACACACAATATATTCTGTAATTTATTAGTAGTTGAGAAAATAATTATACAAAATTAAAATTATGTCAAATCAAACATACATATAGACACACAGACATACATTAATGACTGTGTGCATACATTTACAAATACAATTAAATGTTAACGATCTACATATTAGTAATAATGATCCATTAACAAAACCCTTTTTAGTCAACCTCTAGTTCAAGCCAAAAAGAGATGAAAATGAATTCATGGTAACACTTTACTTGAAGGGGTGTGCATAAGACTGACATGACACCTTCATAATCTTTATAATCATAAGTTTTATGCACGTTTATGACAACTGTCATTAAGTGTCATTTGCTCAGTTATGGCATTTTTAATGCAAATTTGACATTGTTTGAGATGGCTTTGTTATGACACCTTGACAAAAACCAATACATCATAACCTGTCACAACACAACACAACCTGTCATAAACATGACATAGCAGATTAATGATCAAACTTACGAAACCACCTAGCTTTATTGGTTAACATTACATTAAAATGTCAGGTGGTTGGTTTTGACATTGGCTGTCATGAAGCCATTATAACTTTTTAATGACAAATTCAATGTGTAAAACTGTAGTTGAGGTCAAGAAAAGTATTCATGACTCAGTTATAATGGCCTCATGACAGCCAATGTCAAAGCCAACCACATGACAGTTTAATGTAATTTTATGTCAAGTTGTCATGACAAAGACACTGACAGGTTATGATGTTATGGTTTATGTCAAGATGTCATAACAAAGACATCTTAATGCCATGTTTGCATTCAAAATGTCATTATTGAGCAAAAGACACATGTCATATCATGGTTATGAAGGTTTCATCCCAGTCTTATGCACACCCCTTTAAGTAAAGTGTTACCATGAATTCAAACTATATTGCTGTCAGTGAGAAATGGCACACATTTTGTCCATGAAAAGCTGCTGGAACAGAAACTCAACATGCTCAAAGTGCTGAGAACTGTATGGCTTGCAAATAATGTGAGAAGAAAACAAAAGATAGCAGGAAAGAGTGTGAATTTCTGTGAAACCTGTAAACGTGGCCACAGCTTGATGTGCAATGAAAAGAACTAGACACACTTGAGAAGTGAACGAGTTTCACGCTTTCAAAGGATTGTGCATTAGCTTTCACCTTTCGGCGTGTCCTCGTTCAGAGGCTGGAAAGCCGGAGTGTTCGGATCCCAGGTGCCAGTGATCACATACGCCTTCCCATCGGCACTCTTGCCCATAGACTCCTTCAAACACAAGCACACAAAAATGATCAAGTTTTCCCTACTTCTATAATGACTAAAGATTTGTTAACCAAGTTTAACCAGTGGTAAATTTAAGATAGGACATGCATTTATCTAATAGGACAAGCGTTTATTCATTGAATGTGATTTCTAAAAGCCAGTTGAAGGAAATTCAAGATTTTTTTAATGGCTAATTAAATATCTATAAATCAAACACATGAGTCATTTGCAGTCTTTGCGAGTCAGAATTTCATTTAAACTCCACAAATATGGCATTCAATCAAATGAAAAACACCTGCTAAACTAAAGCATTAAGACATCTTTTTAATATATATAAACGTTAAAAGGAAAAAGCAGATTTGAGATTAATTGTATTAACAAATAAAATAAAAAAGGGGAGATTCATCATGATTATTTTTATCTATTGATTGCTCTAATATAGGCACTTTTGGGCACAGTATCAATTGATGACATTTGTCTAAACCATCCAGATGGCAACACGCTTCTTGATGAAAAGTATGAGATTAAGCCTTGTAGGATGTTTGATTCAGGAATCCCTGTGAACCCAATTACGCGTGATTGAACTGCTAATTGTTTTTAGTCTTGATGTGCAAATCGCCATTGCTTAACTTGCTCAAGGGCCTTTGTAAAATCATGTTTTTAATGAATAATAAAAACCCTATATTTCCATTAAGTGATTCTAAAATTGGCAACGGAAAGGTTAACATTTAATACTGAGCCTGAGGTCTGGCTCAATAAACTGGGGGAAAACTCCAGAAATGTGTCTCACCATGTCGACGAGGTGCATGTCGCTGTTACGGACTTTCTGACCAGGACTCAACAGCATCCCAAAGCACCTGGACAGAAAGTAAATGGGTTTGATTGTGAAGAAAAGTATTATTTATTAGATAATATTTTGACATTGTGATTTGAAGCTTCTTTCATTAAGTAATACGCTATATGAAATTTGTGACGGTCTCATTTTCACAGCAAGTCTCAAAGTGAAGAGGGTTGTCTCTACTGTAACTAGAGCAACATCTAGTGGTTACACAATGAATCACACTTATATATTTCAACTTTATACATGTAACACAATATATACATACTGTCTGTCTGTCTGTCTATATATACACAAATACATATAGTACTATATATATATATATAAGGTCATAATAAATTACTATATAAGAACAATACAGTATAAAGACGCTTCTGGTTTCCTTTTAACTCATTTCAATTTAGATATATTGTAAAATTATATATTTTTTATCATTTTATTGTCTCTATATAAATAGTCTCTGGTACACCCTAATCTGGCTTAATAAATTCCTTTGCTGTCTAAATAAATTATTTCTAAATAAATACATTAATTTTATAGTTTATTTATCTCTACGCCTAGAACAAGAATATGTCATACAGTCGGACGGGACATTAACTACAGGCTATTGCCAATTTATATTAAAAAAAAAAAAATCATATGTCTTTTTTATTTTCTTTAAAGGCAAGGCCCTGGCAGTCATTTTAAAGCAACATAAAAGGAAATGGCAAAACATCTGAATTTCTGAATCCCATAACCCACCTCTCTATTACCAGCTCCTGGTTGGACATCTGCTGGACGGTAACACACACTTTTTTATGTACACCCTGCCGCAGCTTGAAGTAATATTTATCTCTGTCTTTGGGAACTGGACTGCAAGATATAGAGCAAGAGAGAGGGAAAGCAAAAGTAAGAGAGAGAAGTTTACACAATACGAATAGCAACAGTAAAAAAAAAAAACACACACCGAGTAAGACGTAGGCAGAACTAAGTAATGACAGACCTGAAGTTTCCTTTGCCGTCATCTTCTCTCACTTCCAGAGAAACGGTGAAGGTGAAGACGTCACTATCGGGGGAAAGTGGCAACACCGTGTCCCGCATGTCTGTGGCAGCAGCTTTTGAAGATCGCTTGAAGGCCGTTGAGAAGCTATAGAGGATGCGACTAACCTAAATAAGGAAAGGAGGTTGAGCTTAGTTGATTTCTACATTTCAAGACTGACTCTTTGAACATGAAACATTACTGAACTCACAGCCTCTTTGATGTGGCATGAGAAGACGTGGATTTGGAAGTCCTCTGAGCTGCGGTAGCTCTCGGTGAAGCAAAAGCAGTCGCTCTCGTCAGATCCCTCGTGTCCTCGTGCGCAGAACAACACCTTGTAGATGGGAAAAGATGCGATTTGTGTTCCTGAGGCCTGGTCGACGATCCTAGAGTGATTAAAAACATTTTGTTTTGTTCTGTCAGATCGTACAATACGACCCTGATAAGATCGCAAGAAACCCCAAAGCAGGATGCATCACTTAATCTGAAATCTTTTATGATATACATCAACTTTAGTCCTGACTGACAGATATCAATCAAAAAACAAAACCTTTCTGGAGTAAGCTAAATAGGTCAACGCACTTTTAATAGTGCCATTACTAACACTAAATAGGATATTCGCATTTAGACATAGTCAAAATAAGTAGTGAGGATATTTTAAAAGTAGTAGTAGTACAAGTGTAAAAATGTCACTAGAATTAGAGCAGCACTTTCCATGTGCATCATGTTTGCTTAGCTCACTTAAGAGTCATTTCTGAGGTTTATAGAGACAGTGAGATGCTTGATCTGAGGTTACACCAGTTCCTGAGAAAAACAGGGTGAGAAAACAGAAGTGCAACACCACGCTTATGAACCTGAAAGAAGGAGCTAAAAGCAGCTCAGGTGACAGCTTTCGACAGACCATGAAGATCATAAGAACTCAGAAACTAAAGAGAAGTCACATTTTACACTCCCAATGTTGAATGTGGTTCATCCTAGAGCAAGAAAGCTAAATGTGCCCGATCTAAAAAGCTTTTATGAAGCCCCAGGGGAAACACGTGCAAAAAAACAAATAAAAAACTGGTTGTGAGATGCATCTGATGTCATATATGTCCAGTGGAGTACAAAAGTCTAAGAAAACACTGAAAATCTGGGATTCAAACCTGGTAATGAAAGTAAAAGCTTAATAATATAGTATTAAAGTTTAAAACTTTAATCTGTGTTTTATTATATTTACATCCCTCTGTGTTTTTTTTGGTTCAAAAGTGTGCACATTTGGATAAAAGCTTATGGATTATCGTATGTTTAGTTTTTTTTACCAAAAATAGGACAATGTGAGCATTATGGAGCGCTAAACTCTCACATGTTAATTATGTTTAAGTCATACTTGAGGGCGCACTTGAAAAGCTAGATCAAGCTATTAGTCCATGAGCCAGGACCCCAAATTTGGTCCATCGGTATCATCTGGGGGGACAAAGTCTCATAGTGATTTTAATTTATATGTAATGGGGGGGGGGAAATAAGATTTTCACTAATCTGGGATTCAAAAAGTATGTTTAAATTAGAGCCAGACCGATATATCGGCCGATATTAGGAATTTTCCAAACTATCGGTATCGGCAGTTATACTGGCCGATAAATGAATATTTCAAAAATAAAATAAAAACAGACGAAACACGCTTGAGCCATGTCATGAGTGTTGGAGTTGTATAGCTTGTCCACTAGAGGGCACTCTACACCGTCCCTGTTGGAAACACATTCGTTGAGTTGGTCACGAGACATACATTGTTTAAATAACAATTAAAAGAACATCCCCATAAGTTCTCTTAACTCAAATAAGCATGACAAAATTTCACCGTTTTGCTGCTGTTAAATAAGCCGAGAGTGAAGCGGAATTAGCTAGTAATAGTTACGTTACGTTGTTGCAGTGTAGTTGACTGACTGTCCTTTTAACTTTTGACAATGTGACTGAAGAATTTCTTTAATAGCATGTGACAGTTATAGCAATGAGACATATCGTCTCTAATTGGCCTGTTATATTGAAAATGTATGTTTTACAATTTGCAATATGACATTATCCATTGCAAAATTATGGCTCATCATAGACTAGCTAACCACTAAGCCACTATCATCACTCTGTTCTGTTGTGACAATAAAATAAACAAGTTTCTTTTTAAAATGCATTATCATATTATATTATTTTATTTAACTCATAAATAACTACAAATAGCTAATGTTAGGGAAATGTTAATGTTTTGTTGTGCGTTTCTGAAATAAAAAAATATCGGCCGATATATCGGATTTTAAAACCAACAAATGTTTGTATCGGTATCGGCCTTCAAAATCCTTTATCGGTCGGGCTCTAGTTTAAATCTGACGGTGTCTGCAATGAAAATAAAGATTTAAATAGAAAACGAATGTTTCTTAAACAGTCGTCTCAGATTTGTGCGTTTTTGGCAAATGACTGACCGGACACAACCGTCTGGGCCGTTGGGCACATGGAGGGTGACGGGGATGGGGATGGGGCTCTCTGCCCGCAGGGTGGCCATGGCTTTCTGGGCCTCCGTCTCGTTACGAGGGGCTTTCACCCAGGTGCAGCCGAGATAGGACAGTTTACTAAACTGCACACTGTCTTCTTCCTCCTGTCCTGTCACACTCTCCAAAACAGCTGCTGATCCTTCTGTGAATACAGACAACAAAGTGTCAATTCAAGGTTGCAGAATGTCTTTTTTTCTTCTTTAAAATTGTTTTTATTTGTAAGATGTAATACAAAATCAAGTGGCAAATGTGTTTTATGGTAACTATTTCTTTAGATTCTTATGTCGACATCCTACTGCAATCCGCAAACAATAAACTTTTGCTTTTGTAAAAACCTGTTTTATCTAAAGGTCCATTGTCAAGAGTGACTGATGAGGAAGTGTGTGCAAGGTAGAGAGGAAGTGTGTTCAGAGTCCCCCCACAATTATAGCACTTGGCAACAGGAAGCAGATAACTAGACGGCTGGATTAGATGGCATCTGCTGAAACCCCAGTGTTTGCTCACAAATATCTCCTCAAATAGCTTTTCTACATCTACATAGGATTTCCTTCCATCTTAAACCTGCTTACCATCACTTTAAGATATTATAAATCAACACCACTTTGACTCATTTGCTGTCAAACGATTAAAATATTTAATTGCGATTAATCGCATTAATGTCATTGTTAACTCGCGATTAATCGCAATTAAATATTTTAATCGTTTGACAGCACTAGTATATACACACAAATGAGTCAAAATGGTGTTGATTTATAATATCTTAAAGTGATGGTAAGCAGGTTAATACGATTAATCGCATTAATGTCATTGTTAACTCACGATTAATCGCAATTAATCGCATTTTTATCTATTCTAAATGTCTCTTGATTTCTTTTTGTCCCATTATTTTTTCTCATTTTAATGCTCTTATCAACATGGAAAAGTGGATCGGCATTGAAAAACAACATTGGCATATACTGTGTTCAAATTCACACTAAAATTCTAACTTGGAGCAAATAATCTCTCACACAATGTAACTGTCCATCAATAAAAGGGTGAAAGAAATACTGACAGGTCCTGATATTGACGAGGGGGCGGAGAATACGCATCAGCTGTGTGTGTGTGTGTGCTTTGGCGATCACCAAGCGGAATTTCAGACTGGATGTCCTGCGATGATGATAGCTCAGTTCACAACGACAAAACACACAGATCACTTTGGTCTTATCAATGGGACCATTTGGCAACTTTTTACCATTCAGAATCTTATTAGCATCCATTTCGGCGTCTAGCGCTCGTCATCCACTTAAAACGTAACATTAACCAACTATTTGGCCGGCTCGCAAGCCCAAACGAGTGTGTTCGGACTTCGGAGTGCCTGTTGTTTTGTTTACGGTGTAGCTAGATCCGCTTGCGTTTTGGTTGACGATCCAACAAAACGTCCTCGTATTGCGCAAGCCATTAAAATGAATGGGTTTCATAGCGCAGCGTGCATGCCGCGTCCTGTTGCAAAAGCATGTGAAAGAAAACTACAAAGTTTGCTAGGCCAAAATGACCGTTAATTGCGCGATAAAAAAATTGACGCCGTTAAAATGGGTTTGCGTTAACGCCATTAATAACGCGTTTAACTGACAGCCCTAGTATATACATATATAAAGATTTATAAATAAAAATTATTTATACAGAAATAAATAATATAAAATAAACTGTATTATTATATAACAAATATAATTTGTGTGTGTGTGTGCATGCATGTAAACATATGTGTATACGCGTGTATGTATATGTGTATATATGGCAAATTAGCTGTGAAAATGAATACTATAATAATTATAACAATACAGAAAGTTCGTAATTTAGTTTGTTACTGCGACCAGGATGTACCATTGGGGGCAATGTCCAGAGTCGGGCTGGGGGGTCTGTTCTGAGAGCCGAGCGCTATGGGACTTTCTTTCTCTTCTGCGGCTTTTGGTCCGTCACTAACATCATCTAACACCTCCTCCATCGCCCGCTCCAACTGCTCACTTCCATTCCACGACATCTGAGTCAAAAAGATGGCAGAAGTAAAACATTCTAGATTATTCTCATTACTTCCTTCTTATTTACAGGATACAGTAAAACAAATGGGTAATGCATGCTTGGAAAGAGATACCTTGAGTCTGGGCCTCCCCTCTGAGCTGGAGGGGGAACCTCCAGCGGTGGGCGGCACAAGAACAAACTCCTCACTGGTGACGGTTGACACAGATTCAGTTGAGCCGCTCACTCTGCCCAGAGAGGAGCGGTCATCCATGATAGCCTGGGACAGTCCACCCACTCGGCCCGCTGCTACTGCAACCCTACCAACAAGACAGACTTGTTACACTGGGTACATGCTGGATTACATCATTAAGAGAAACTACCAGGCCAGGGCTTTTTAACATCCGTAACTTCATATATAGATTGATTAAATTGTGTTTTAATCAAGTATTATTATCATTATAGTCTGTCTATTACATTTATTATATAATATATTGTATTTATTATATAGTATTCCATAATATATTAGATATAAGCTAAGCATAATACATTAGATTCTAAGCTGACCATTTTATTTGCTTTATTAATAAATTACTAAAAGATTATAATATAAGATCTACTATAAGTTATTTATCAATTATTTAAATGTATTAAATACTAGTTCGCTAAGTCTTCAAATATTGTTTAGTTAAATAAAAAATGCATTAAAAAGCACAAATGAAAAGAAACACATTACAGGTAGGGAGCAGAACAAGTGACGGGTCTATACCCCTTTAAGACTTAGCCGAATGCACAGATCTATTTATTATTCAAAGTCTAAAAAACAAAATCATAATATTTGAATGATTGTGATAGCTTCGATTTTCCCATGACCGCAAGTGCCTTGATGATGACATAAGCAGAAAAGAAAAGTCCCTTCAGAAGTGGAAAAACGTATTATACTTTAAATGAAATTGTAAAAACATTTTTTTCTTAGAAAAGGGAACCGAAGTGCACAATAATACATGGGAAATTTGTTAAATGGGCTCAATTATTCATGACATGACATTTCATGTCTTAGCTTCAAATACTAGTCATGCTAACACAGACAGGAGCTAAATAAATAAAAAGGCGGATCTAACAATCATTCAGTGCTAAAGCACCGGCGCTCTTTTGAAGAAGTAAGGCTGTGTCGTCTGAAAACGATATCAAACATCTAGCATATCGCACATGTTTTTGCTGATTCAACAAGCAAGCTCACATTTATCGAGGTATCATCTGTCAGCCTAAAGTAGCTCAGAGCAAAAGCTCTCACCTAAACCACCAGTGATGTTCACAGCTCATTTTCACAACTCAGATCACACCTTATCACAGAAATGACACCAGGCATAACTGTCACATAACAGCAGTGATGAATATGATGATAAAGCAACTGCACCCAGTAACACTACAGTGGGTTGCTTGAGTTCAGGTCATGGGGTCACGCCACACCACAGTGGGTGAAAGGGTCTTCACATTCACACACAGGGCAGTCATGTGGCCATCATTCTCCGTCAATTACAGCCATTGAAATACACACAGGATAAAACCCAACGCTAACAGAAGATCTCTGTGCGCCCTTCATTTTCATTATGTACTCAACGTAAATAGAGAACGCACTTAGTCTTAGGCATTCGCCAAATTGCTTCAGTTAGTCATTCAAATTGAATTATACAGCAGAAACTCCAAGAAAGACACAAAATCCAAGCAATTCCAAACAAATGGTCATTATTTTGGAATTAGCCAGTTATTCATCAGGCTCAGATTGTTTGGAGAGAGCATGAAGCATGAATTGCGTCCAGACCTTAAATTCATTGAACGTTTTTGGGATGTGCTGCGGGAGACTTTACAGAGTGCTGGACTCTTGCATTGTCAATACAACATCTTGAACAAAAACTGAGGCACCTCTTGATGGAAATAAGGCTATGTTTACACGGAAACGATCCTGAAGAGAAAACGCAAAAGTGGCGTTGCGTCATCACTTTTTATTCTGCGTTTAGACGAGCGTTTTTGGTGGGAAATCCGCGTGCATATGGTGACGCAAATGAATGTGAAATTCAATGTAGTATGCACTCCAGGCGGCTAGGTGGCGACATGAAGCACTGCCACACAACAACACCAAGTCCGCCCGCCTGCGTACAACCTTTTGCGTTTTTACCGTTTACACGGGAACGCGGCGGTGGAGTGTATTTAAGATTTCCACTCTAGAGGGTGGTTTCACTTTTTTGCGTTTTTAAGCCCCCAAAACGCCTTCGCCGTGTAAACGAAAGGCACATCCTATAAAATATTTAAGTTTTCACCCGCGAGCGTTCTCGTGTAAACAGGGCCTAAATGTTGTGGTGTTATAGTGCTGGGCAGTATACCGGTTCATACCGAAATCCGGTGTATATTTTTGTTATGATATAATTTTTTAATATACCGCCATACCGATCTATTTAATTACACAAAGTTCCAAACGAACGTTACGCTGCGCGACACTGTTTCAGACGGACCTTTTACAATGTTGCACTTCTAAGCAGCGCCGGTGAGGCGAGGGTAAATCAAACAGCAGTGCTCTGGTTTTACGTTAGGTGGATGCTGCAGAACTATGGCGCAGTTTTTCCCGTTAAATGTCGAGAACGCACTATTGTAGCGCGAAAGTAAATTACAATAATGAGCTTAAAACGCGAATCTCTCCTCTTCCCCAGATAACAATCTTAGGTTATAAGAACGTTTCATAACATTCCTATTAAGTTATAAAAACGTTATTTCTGAACGTTCTAGGAACTTTCAAAACGTCAAGTTTTTTTGGACGTTGTATTAACGTTCTTGCTTGGTCATAAGAATGTTATATGAACATTAAGAAATAACAATTTTAGGTTATACTGGACGCTATTCTATTCCACAATATTAACTAATAACAATAAAAAAAGACCATCCTAATAGTTTCACACCAAACACGAATAGAGCGTCAAATACGCATCTATCACGTCTAGTTAGACGCTTTAACATTTGCTCAAGTTCAAATTTTTCAACTTGCGCGGAAGACATTGGTGGCAAACGCGTCGCCCAATTCGCGTCATTCACAACGCCCGGCGCGTCATTCGCGTCTTTGCATTGACTTTGTATGTAATCCAGGGCTGCCAACTGATTAACGCAATTGAGCCAATTCTCACGCTCTCACGCCACACCCCCGATTTCTCATGCTAAAGTGTTAAGCCAGTCAGCAAAATACCTGAAAGATAAGTTTATCTATAAATCCACCAGTTGAGCCACTCGTGATCGACTAGTTTTACCGCAAATTAGTTAAAATATCCTCTAATCTAGTCTAGAGCGATCGTGCATATGAGACAGATGTTGAGCTCCTACGGCGCGGACGCAAAACCAGGACTGGAGTCAAAGCCAATTCCTCTCTGTACTCTAAGCCAGTGTTTCCCAACCCTGTTCCTGGCGGCACACCAACACTGCGCGTATTCTTTGTCTCCCTTATCAAACACACCTGATTCAACTCATGAGCTCATAATCTGATGGGTTTATGAGCTGATGAGTTGAATCAGGTGTGTTTGATTAGGGAGACAAAGAATACGCGCAGTGTTGGTGTGCCGCCAGGAACAGGGTTGGGAAACACTGTTCTAAGCGTTCTGTTATCACTCCAATTACCTCCACTACGGGTTTTCACAGGAAAAACTGCTCCGTGTTCACGTGAGCAAAGTGCACACGTTTCTCTAAAACACCCAGCACAAACAGAATGCCTATTCTTAAAGTTTTGTGCTGTTTTATGAAGGCAAAAAGCATTTTCATGGTTTCGTTTTTTAGTTCATTGGCAAAATACAACGCTAGAGACCTTCATGTTAGTTTATACATTTCACATCTCATATGTTCGGCAAAAGGCGAATTCACACAACTGACATCATTCATGTTCTTTAGCTGTGGTGATCGGTATGAAACACCACCCAGTTCTTTTAAACAGAGCCTACGCTACATCTCAGATGTTGAACTTGTGCAGTGGGTGCACTTCACTTATTCTGGGCGTACATGAGCTACACACACACACTGCAGGCCACAGCAGGAGAAACAGGCTCTAGAAACAATAGTTTATTATCCTTTATGCTTTCTCATGCCTACCATTAAATAACAAAAAACAGATACTGTATTAGAACAGGTTGCAAAAGACTGCGTTACTACAACACAGCATAAATCACAAGATGCCACCCTCTACTCTGAACTACTGAGAAAGAGGCAAGTTTTTCCGGCTGTCCAACACAGTGTTTAAAGTTCAAAACGGTCTGATGTGCACTATGAGTTACTGGTCTCTCGGTCCGCGCTCTCCTTCAGGGCCAGCGATGATGTAATACAAGAAAATCTCCTTGATGACATCATTCAGCAGAAAAGGAAGAGGAGAGCGCATCGAGCAAACACAGGAACTATTGAATTAAGCAATAAGGTAAGACACTGTGTAGTACAAAGCAAGGGCTACTTTTTATTTTAGCATACATATGAGATTTTAATTAAGGAATTGTAGCCTAAACAATATGAACATTATATTTGATAATAATATTAACATTTTCAATATGAGAATGCAAGATTTATTTTTTTTAAATAGGGATTGCCTTTTTTCTTTCTTTTTTTAACTGAAATTATAGCATGTTTTTATAAAGCAGTCCTTTTGAATCATTATAATAATATTACATAATATTATAAAATATTATATATATATATATATATATATATATAAACAAATTTTATTTTTTATTTTTGTTCATTGTTTTTTGTTAAAAACCCAGATTGTTTTGTCTCATCTAACTTTAATCTAAACTCAGTTTAGTGAAGTCTACTGAAGCAAGTAGAAAATGAAATGTAAAAATAAACTCTAATCAAACATCTATCTTGTTTTAATAATGCTTAAATGTTTTTATTTGAAAATAAGACAAAATTACAGATTTATGAAATATTTTTCAGTTTTAAAGGGATATTTTACCCAAAAAAAAAAAAACATTTGTCATCATTTACTCACCCTCAAATTTCTTCTGTTGAACACAAAATGTTGATGGGAAAAGTTGATGTATATATATAACAAACTTCATTGAACAAATTATATTTATTAGACTCAATTTCATTATAGTCCCTGAAATGTTAATAAAAATTCTGAAATGATAACCAATAAGGTATTTACTTCTTTGTATTGGTTAATATTTAATATTTTATTGTTCTAGCTAATCTTAACCTAATATTTAGATCATCATCTAATAGTATCTTAAAATACTTAATAGTTATAAGTGTGTGTTTTAAGTATTATAGATATATTTGGCTAATATCAGCCATTTCTAAAAAAATTATTAATCGCACCGCTGGAATGCTGTATTGACCAATCAGCAGCCAGTGTCAATCACTATCATGCTTTGCTTGTTGTCACATTAACATATATATAGACTAATTACGAGACAGATTTTCCGTTATTCTTCTTGAGCTTTTGATGAGTGATGGCTTTTAGTGTTTAAAACACAGATGAAGAGTTCATGGCAAGCACTGGGTCTACACTGCTGTTAAACAAACTGACATATTTACATAACCATCCTGAACCCTTTCAAACATTAGCCACACACACTAGAAAACCTGAAATACTGATATAAAGTTCCTTTGCAATATGTAAATCAAAGTATTTTACAACATACTAGTTCCTTATAGTCATCTAAATGACTTGTTAAACAAGTTATGCGCCTATGTATGTGTGTGTGTGTGTGTGTGTGTGTGTGTCACACACAGTGTGTGTATATATATATATATATATATGCTCACATATTAAATATATATTCAAGTTAAGGTAACACTACTAAACTCATAAATCAAATGCACATGCACAATGAAACAATGACATTTGTTTTAAGCAATCTAGTGTCAGTATAATATATGCAGTACAACAAAACAAAACCAGTTTTAGCCAGCTAACATATCCAGCTGTTTGGGACAGATAACAGATAACAGATAAAAAACGCGAAAATGACAGCAAACACTTTTAAAATATTAGCCAGCTGACAAAACAGAGATTCAAAATAACAGACAGGAAACGCCTTAAACAACATAACATTATCATTGTGATTAACAACCGTTTCGTTCTACAGTGTTTTTCATGCCACACACACAGACAAAACGCATCCTAACAGCCTAACTAAACTGAAGCTAACGTTAGTCATTTAGCCAGCTAGCCACTGCTAAACAACAATTAGCTCATTTTCTGCCACTTTAACTTTAAAACATTAGCCTAGGACCCTCAAAAGCTTTTAAACACGCTCACGCTGAATATAAATGAAACCCGAGAGCGTGTGGTGTGTCAACGAGGACGTTTTCTGTCATTTTTGTGTTTGTTGTGAGTTTCCTGAGAGGGCAAAAAAGCAACTTACTTGCTGTGAGTCTGTCAGCTGAGCGACGCGCGTGCACACGCAGAAACATCCGCAAACCTCATCAGAGCTCGCGCGCCGCATTCACATGGCGCAGGCGACGTCATCACAACCTCTAGCAAAAGCCACGCCCGCCTCTTCCAAATAGGTGAGTCAACAGCGAATCAGGCATAGAGCACCTGCTGTTCGATTATTACTAGTTTTAATAGCTATATAAAGGGAAAATTAGATTAAAGGGATAGTTCACTTTGGTATGTTTTAGCTTATACCTCGGAGGCATCCAAGATGTAGGTGTCTTTGTTTCCGCAGTAGTTTCAATTTTTAAATTTTTAGGTCAAACCGTTCGTGTCTATCAGTCATATAATGGAGGTCTATGGGGTCCACCATGTACAGAGAAGTCCTCTACAGAAAGAGCATGTATAGAGAAGTCCAAATTAAACATTATTTAATGACTTGTAAATGTAAGCACACATTGATGGCCTAAGACACAAAACGAGCGGTTTGTGTGAGAAAACGAACAGTATTTATATCGTTTTTGCATGCTCTTTGAGGTGGACCCTATAGACCTGCATTATATGACTGATAGACACGAACTGTTTGACCTAAAAATATCAAAATTGAAACTACTGCGGAAACAAAGACACCTACATCTTGGATGCCCTTGAGGTAAGCTAAAACATACCAAAAATTAATTTCAAAGTGAACTATCCCTTTAAGGTGTCATGTGATGTCAACATAATAAATTCTAACAAACACTTTTATGTCAACAAAAAATACAAAATATAACAATAAAGCCAAGTTATAATTAGAATATTAAATCCTTCAGTTATCCTTCACTGCACAGAGTCATATGTATTCTTTATTTCTTTATTTGCTCACTGGTTCATCTGTAAAACATTGCTTATGTGCTATACAACTAAAGACAATACAGTAAAAATATTTGCCTAAACATAGAAATCAACATTGCTACCAATTTCAATCATCACATCCAAGATACAATTATGATCAAGCTAGCATCATTTACATAAACTCAAACTAACAGCCATTGTTTGACCAAATAAAAGTTTGGTGAAAGTTCACAAATAAATACATAATAGGCTGTATAGACTATTTGACATATTCCATTTTTGCATGTAATAAAAAGAAAAGCGTATCATAAATACAACAATAAATGACATCTCGTCATGGACTAAAGTCCCTAAACAGTCACTCAAATCCCTCTTCATACCTAGAGTATGTTATTAAATTCAACTTGCATAGAGACCACTAAGAAATGAATTAAAGGTGACATCTCTGCACCTCTAGCGCCACCAAGTGGCATTGCAGAGAATAAAATAAAAAATGATTAGAATGTTTGTAAATAAAGTTTAATTGTGGCACAATAACAAAAAATGCCCAAAATATGTAAGTTGTGTAGGATAGCCCTCATACATTAGCCCATAACCGGAAGCCCAAAATATCAAAATTTCTGAAAGACCTTAAATCAAAAGCCCCAGGCAGATGTTTAAGGCCGCATAGAAAACTAAGAGCCCTTACCTTCCACTGCAAAACAATATTTTTGTTTTCCAGTAAAAACATTTAAACACCATTAAAAGATGTTCAAACATATCGCAACGTAATCAGAGAGTAATGTCTGTTTTTCAAAATATTTATTTTTTTACATTTTATTATTTTGTTTACTTATGTTTTTTATTTGATTCTTTTATCTATCCTCCTTTTGTGTATTTTATTTTTTATTTTCGTTACTTGTTTTTGAAAAAACCCAGATTGTTTTGTCTCATCTAACTTTAATCTAAACTCAGTTTAATGAAGTCTACTAAAACAAGAAAATAAAATGTAAAAATAAACTCTAATCAAACATCTATCTTGTTTTAATAATGCTTAAATGTTTTACAGATTTATAAAATATTTTTCCATTTTAAAGGGATATTTCACCCAAAAAAACAAACAAAAAAACATTTGTCATCATTTACTCACCCTCAAATTACTTCTGTTGAACACAAAAGAAGATTTTGAAGAATTGTTGATGGGAAAAGTTGATGGACTCCATTGACTTCCATAGTATTTTTTTCCCATTCCATTGAAGTCAATGGGGACCAACACAACTGTTTGCTTTTAGAACCTCCTACAGGTTTGGAACAACGTGAGGGTGAGTAAATGATGATTCACCCTTTAATTAGAGTCAAATAAATTCAGAAAGAACGCATTTGTATACATTTCTATAAAAAAATTAAACACTCTAAAAACTCAAAAAATTTGGGTCAGATATGGACAAACCCAAATGTTGGTTTAACCCCAAAATTTGAGTTTGTCCATATTTTACAATTAAAACAACCAAGCATTTTAAGAGTGTATGATTATTGATTTCAATGAGCTGCTAGACAGATGTAAAAACGGAGTACTCGCTGTCCTTGGTCCCCATTCACTCTGTTATGCGTGTGCCGCTCAGGTACACAAAAGAAACATTAGGGGTGTTTGAGGTGGACGTCACTGATCAGACATCAGTGCTTATGGCACGTGTGTTAGAGTAGAGGTCCGGTCGGCTTCGAGAGCCCAATGACGCGCTGTGTAATGAGGGAAGGGTGAGAGACAGGGGCGGACCGTTGTAGTGCGACGACACGTAAGGGATGCGTTCGCCCCCGTTGCGCGTTTCGTCCATGGTGTGGATGTAAAATGGAGAGCCGTATGGGGAGCAGGTGGGGCAGAAGCTCTGCGGTGGAGTGGGCTCTGGCGACAGGGAGAGAGGGGTGGAAGCGGTCCCATCCACACGGGATGTGCTGCATGCGTTGAAGGCGAACTGGGGTTGTGGGCAAACAGCATCTGGATCAGAGCCATTCTTCTTACAGCAATAATACTAGAAGCACACAGAGAGTCAGGTAGATAAATAAATCTGAATATTTTTTTTTAATTTATGGTTTATTATAAGAGCACATACACTTTTTCATTCAGTGTCACCAAACACAGAGAAATATATCATTCATTAAACTCTATTAAATAAAATAGAGACAATTAATTTACTGAATTAATTTAAATCTATCGAAAATAAAAATAATGTAAAATTGAATTAAAATAAAAAAAAACTACTTCCTACTGCTCCACAAATGTTGTTCTTGTTATAAATAAAAAATAAATTATTTTTAAAAATAAGAAATTCATTCAAACTCATTTTATAAATAAAAACTAGTTCAACACTGTTTTTATAAATAAAACAAATGCATGCTTGAAATTCATTTAAATCCAATACACTCTAAATGTATTACTCTATATATTATAATTTGCATTCAAATATATCAAAATACAATAAGCTTAAGTCAAGTAATTTTTGATAAAACCTTATAAATTAATATATGTAAATATAAACCATGAAAATAAAAAATATACTAAAAAATATTTTCTAAAATAATTTCTCTCAAAATAAAGCAAAAACAAAATAACATCTACAACATCTAAAAATAAATTTTACAAATGAAATTAAAGAAAAAGCCTTCCCCCACACTGTTTTTACTGTTATAAAAACATTCAATTTTCAATTCAAACATTCAATATTGTGAAAACACACACACACACACACACACTCAGAAATGCATTCAAATCTATACAATGATTTTAGTTCAATACTGTTTTTATAAATAAAACAAATGCATGCTTGAAATTAATTTAAATCTACCAAAACAAAAAAAAATATTACATGAAAATATCAAGTCTGCATCATAGTTTTGCACTAATGTTATCACATAAATAAAAACAAAAGTAATAGTTTATAAATAAAATAAAACTAATGATTCACTGTTTTTTATAAATAAATTATTTCACCAAATTCACTCAAATCTATAAAAAAAACAAAAAAAAAACAAAATGCAAATTCTTTCAAATTTATCAAAACAAAAAATTAAAAAAAATTAATAATATAATATTTAGATGAAAAAAAATGTACATACTGTTTCACTGTTGTTATCATTATAGGATATCAAATAAAAAAAATCATTTAAATAAAATAAAATAAAACAATGTATTCATTCAAATATTCAAACAAACAAAAAGTAAAATAATAATATAAAAAGCAATGTTAAGAATTCTAAATAAATTAAAGGATGTTCAGTGATAATAAACAGAAGGCTATTAAGAAATTAATAAAATCTTTTTTTTCTTTATGAGTGAAAACCACAGGTGTCAAAGGCACTCACCTGAAGGCGACAGTAACACAGCACAACAATGATGCACAGGAGGATCACCGTTGCGAGAATTCCTCCAGTTATAACCACAGTTCCAGCTGTCATCCGACCGGATCTCCATGAAACTCTAGAAGCGAACAGACACAGTGACTTACAGACCACCTGTACAAGTAAAGAGGCCGGGTGACCACTTTGAGCTCCATTACTTTGGGTGTAATTCTAGATTGACCGCAAGATGGCGCTGCGTAGCAAAATATTCATTCAGAGAGCCAACTTACAGTAAGTGAATGACACATCATCAGTGTTCAGTCAGTTTCATTAAGCTCGTGCTGACAGAGGAAGTGTTGGTAGATTGAGTTTGACCAGCACTGCAGATCTGATTAAGGAAAAGCACTGATGACATGCAATCATGGAGTCGGAGGAGAGAAATGAAGCCTTACACAGGGCTGACAGAGAGAGAGAGAGAGAGAACCAGACACACCTGCTCCTCTCTCTCTCTCTAACCACACCCATCACCTTTCTTTCTTTCTTTCTTTCTTTCTTTCTAAAGAAAAGTTTGCTGGTTAACTGTAGGAGCACTTGCCTTTCCATTCAAGGTCACATAATGGATATTCAGTCAAATTATCAAATAAAATATAAAGTATAATATAAAATATTTTTAGAATTTTTAATATATATATATATATATATATATCACTTACTGTTTTGCAATGTATTAGTGTATTATGAACCAAACTAAAATAAAATATAATAAAAGCCTATTCCTTAATAATTTAACGTTTTCCTATATTGTTTAAAATAATATAAAAAATTCATTCAAACCTAACAAAGCCAACAAAAAAAAAAAATCATTCAAATTGATTAAAATATACATAAAAATATAATATATATATATATACAATATATTATAATTAGCAAAATTATCAAAATACAATCATTTTAAGTAAAGTAATTTTTGATAAAAGCTTCTAAATTAATACATGTAAATATAAACCATGAAAATAAAAAAGATACTAAAAAATATTTTCTAAAATAATTTCTCTCAAAATAAAGCGAAAACAAAATAACATCTACATCTAAAAATAAATTTTACAAAAGAAATTAAAGAAAAAGCCTTCCCCATACTGTTTTTACTGTTATAAAAAACATTCAATTTTGTCAGACATTCAATTCAATTCAAACATTCAATATTGTGAAAACACACACACTCAGAAATGCATTCAAATCTATACAATTATTTTAGTACATTTTTAAACAATCAACAATTGTTGATCATTCAAACAGAAATAAAGCAAAAATAATGCAATAAAACCATTCTCAAACCTACTTCCCTGTTCTGCGGGTTTCTTTGCAATGTTCAATCAATTCCTTGTTTTAATATCCTTCGTTTGTAAATCACTTTGGATAAAAGCATCTGCAAAATGAACAAATGTAAAGGTAGACCTTTCAAAAGGCTGATGCCATAAGCACAAGCTATAATGATGATGGCAGTGAGTAACTCTGACCTCCAGCCCATAAATCCAGCTTCAGTCATGCCTAGAAGACAAATATGTGGTGCATCTTTAAGCCATTCCACTCACATACCCCGTGAACGAACAGCAGTCGAGGTACGGGACGCTTCGGCTCAGATTATACAGCAACAGTAGAAGAACATGCGGGCTAGCTGACACATGCGTCGGCATTCGGACCCACCTGCAAAGATACTAAACTATTAATGAGTACTTTATGAATTATTATACACTGCTGCACTCCTGTGCATTTTCACAGGGACCTATAAAGTGCTTAAAATGAAATGTAGCTTGACAGTGAAGTCAAGAATGAATGTAGAAACAAGTTTTCATTTTTTTTCTCTTGTTTCTTAGCCACTTTGGGAGATGTTGATGCAGTAATCCTGACGTGTGCAAGGTTGCTTAAATAGATCCAGAGAGGCCCGTTGATGTTTCAAACAATAACTGAAGTTTATTACATCAAAATAAAAATGAATCACAACATAAAACAAAGAATTTAAAGGCAGCTCGCAGGTTTGTTGCACCATGCCATCCACGCTGTATGCTCTTACACCAGTGAATATTACCTTTCATGAAGACTGTAATAGAGTTGTTTGCAAATGTAAAAGGTCTGCAGAGTTTTAAAGATCAAAGTGCATGAAAAATTTAGTTATGGTCTTCTATAAGAAACAATTGATTATGAACTGCCAAAACAAGTCATCAGCAATTCCTGTCTAACTTCCCGTTACAATGTAACAATGTAACACATTTGCATAATGCCAGCCTATGGTCTTCATTGGCTGCCCGCAAACAAAATCTACTTTGACCCAGCCTCAAACAGGACGAGTTTGGTTCATGTTGTCGAGAACATGCTGTTATCAGTGCTCCAAATCCACTTTACTTGCACCTCCAAAGGATGAGGACTAAAATTGATATGGAAAAAACTGTTCGTATCAGTGTTTAAAGTGCTGAGGAATATCCAGAGCTGAAATTCAACCAATCACAACAGACTGGACCATCTGACCAATCAGAGCAGAGTAGACCAATCACAACAGACTGGACCATCGGACCAATCAGAGCAGACCAATCACAACAGACTGGACCATCGGATCAATCAGAGCAGACCAATCACAACAGACTGGACCATCGGACCAATCAGAGCAGACCAATCACAACAGACTGGACCATCGGACCAATCAGAGCAGACCAATCACAACAGACTGGACCATCGGACCAATCAGAGCAGAGTAGACCAATCACAACAGACTGGACCATCAGACCCATCATAGCAGAGTAGACCAATCACAACAGACTGGACCATCGGACCAATCAGAACAGAGTAGACCAATCACAACAGACTGGCGCATCGGACCAATCAGAACAGAGTAGACAAATCACAGCAGACTGGACCATCGGACCAATTAGAACAGAGTAGACTAATCGCAACAGACTTGACCACCGGACCAATCAGAACAGAGTAGACCAATCACAGCAGACTGGACCATCGGACCAATCAGAGCAGAGTAGACCAATCACAGCAGACTGGACCATCGGACCAATCAGAGCAGAGTAGACCAATCATTCTCAAGAGACTGGACCATCTGACCAATCACAGCAGAGTAGGTCAATCACAACCGACTGGACCATCGGACCAATCAGAGCAGAGTAGACCAATCGCAACCGACTGGACCATCGGACCAATCACAGCAGAGTAGGTCAATCACAACAGACTGGACCATCGGACCAATCAGAGCAGAGTAGACCAATCGCAACCGACTGGACCATCGGACCAATCAGAGCAGAGTAGACCAATCACAACCGACTGGACCATCGGACCAATCAGAGCAGAGTAGACCAATCGCAACCGACTGGACCATCGGACCAATCAGAGCACAACAGACCAATCACAACAATATCTCCATGTTCATTTCTTGCATAAATCTCATCAATTGCTGTCCTCCTTAATTACTCCACACTCTTTTTATTTTTTTTTTTTTTTTTTTGTATGATGGCATTTGCCATCAGCAGTCAGCATATTCAATAGAATAGAAAATATCACAATCCATTCCCAGCACATTCAATAGAATATAATCCCAACCCCAGCATTTTCAATAGAAACAGGGATTTTATTTTATGGTCTGTATATTTTAGATGTCTTGTTGAGAAGTGATAACGGTTTCTTCAAATCCAGCCAACAGAGAGACTATGGAAATGTTTCTTCTTGCTGCCAGTGAACTTTCTCATAAAAGGAAGTTCATTCTTCAAAATGAGCTCCACATTGAAAAAATTCTATTCTGTCATCATTGATTCACTTTATGTTTTTCTGAACCTACTGTATATGACTTTTTCTTCTGTGGAGCACAAAAAGAGATATTTTAGAGAATGTTAACGCTGCTCTTTTCCATATAAAGAAAACATATAGTGACCACAAGTCAAGCTTCATAATAATTAGAGAACTCAAATTTCCAAAATCTCCACAAAAAAAAAAATATATATATATATATATATTCACCAACCACGCTTTGTCTCCCTCTCAAACTTTTATGCTTCTGTGTCCCCGCAGGGTTCTGCTTCCCTTTTCAAGAAACTGTCTAATCTCATATATTTCGCCTGGTGTTTTTATGGCATTTACCTCATTTAGCTGCCTGTAATAGATATTTTGGAAAGCGTTCGAGGTTTTAAAAGATTAAAGAGCAAAGTAAATATCAAATAAATCTAATATAGTGTTCCTTCACAATAACCGCATCATTGATTTTCAGGAAAATGTTTCATATAACCAACTGCTGCTCCTTCTTAAAGGGATAGTTCACCCAAAAATGACAAATGATCCCATAATTCACCATCAAGCCATCCTGTTGACTAATTCCTTAAAAGTTAACCATTTAAAATGAGTAAAACGTACAAAAAAAGTACATTTAAGTCACCATTATGGTGATCAGTGTTTGTTTTAGGTTTGTTTTAAAATGACGGATAATTCTGCTTGTTAACATCAGATGTCTTCAATGTTGGCGATATAAAATAAAGAGCTCTTAATTAATCTTTGACATCTGTCTGTTATTCAGATATTTTTGTTAAATTATTTGGTGTAAACATTACTAATTTTAAATGGTTAACTTTTAAGGATCACTCAATACTCAATTCTGATTTGTTCAATTTAATTAATAATATTGCTTGTAATCTTTTGCCACAATTTTATTGATTAAATAAAGCGTATTCATTTTTACATTGTAGCTCCTCTTCTCTTATATTGAATTCCTCCGAGATTTTCTTGAAAACGTCTCGTTTTAGACTTCTAATTCGAGATAAGCGTTTTGTTTTGCTCTATTCTCTGCATTTCAGCCATTATAAAGTTTTAAATAGTGTGGCCGTGCTGAAGGAACCAAATGTGATTCGCAGACTAAGTAATGTAATATATGTAATTCAGTTATTGTTATTTTCAGCTCGCTATGCTCTTCTGTAATGTACAGTACGGGTTTATGTGAATCATATAACTGTGATATAACTAAAACTCAATGGTCTTTGACAAAGACATCTGGATCATCTTGTGCATGCGTCACACATCATGTTGTGGCACGCTGGATTAAATAAACATGCGGTTTCAATTCAATGGAACGATCCATATTCTGTTCTTGCTCTCAGTCAGAACACATACTGTCTATACGTCCAATTCTATCCCATCATGCCTCCGCCTGGGGGTGCATGTGCCTGTAACTCTAGGATTTATGGAGGTTTTATATGAGAGGCCCATTCCAAGGTCAATCCCAACTGTATTAGAGAGCAGCTCCAATTTCAGACACGCTCAACCTACTGACCTCTTATTCAGCATTTAATAAGAGACAGTGCCGTTCAGAAGAGTGCATTTCATTTCACATACCAACAAACCAGGTGTAGGCTAAGAACATGATCATATGAGAGTTGGTTTAAAAAATCATGAAGAAAAGGGGAAAATCATTCTTTCAAAAAAATTTAATTTTTAAAAATTTTTATTTTAAAAAATAATTGTGTTAACATTCTAATAGACACCCTATGGGAAAAATACTCCAGAAAATTATTATATTAATTATTCATATTTGTATGTCAATAATTAATCATTATAATTAATAAAAAATAATACTTATAATTTAAAATGGATTTTAAACATTATATATATATATATATATATATATATTAATTAATACATTATATATTTATACATTTTACATTATTATATATTTATCTTATATTTATTTATATTTATATTTATCTTATTTTATATTTATATACTTATCTTTTATATTCATATTAAATACGTTAATTTATTTTGCATAATAATAATAATAATAATAATAGGAGAAAATAAAACTAAACCAATCACTGCAGATTTTTAATTTGATCTATTTCATACATTTTATTTAATACATATTTATATTAATGTTAAATATTTTATTTATATTTCAATAATTATTTTACTATTATAAATGATTATTATAGATTTAATAATAATCATTAGAAAAAAATAATAACACTAACCCGATCCATATATTATTTATTATATTATCTTAATACAGTAAAATACTTCATTTTTTTTTAAATAAGGGATAAAATAAGGCAATTCTATGCCACAATAAAATAAAATTATAACTTGCTAAAAAAAACAGTTACAGCTATTTGGTGGTATTATCTATGGCTCCCAATATTAGTTGTCGGCTCCATTACAAACTGGCTTTAATTCCCTTTTACTACACTGTCTGCAGAGGGCTGGGAAGCAGCTCACCGCATTAACCAATTTCCAGCCTCTAGAGTCCATAAACCAACTCACAGTGTTTGTATGCCAACACAATGACCTTTGTAAGACTGATATCTTGTTACAACACATGTAACTCGGTGAATGGAATATGAACTCCTCACTTTTTACATAGCATTTTACACAATAAGTGTGCAGTCTAGCAGAATAGAGCAACAAAACAGAAAAAAATGTTGTTGTTTTTTAAATAATGTATTTTATTATTCATTATTCTGTTACTAAAATAAGTTTTTTATTTTTTTAATAATTATTTTGTATTAAAAAACAGTCTGTAACTAAAGAATTATTTAGTATCTATTTTATTAATAATTTTAAATGAGTGAGGTTATCAACTCAGATTTCAACAAGTACTGGTTATGCATCGTTGTAACTATAGCATTTTCAAATGAGACATTCGCTGTCTTTGCAGAATCACAGTGATCCTTTATCTTCTCAATAATTCAAAATAACGCTCCAACAACAATATTCTTCCATCACCAGGCAGTTCTGCTCATGTATATATAAGCTCACACTGACTACACCCTCTAGAAAAGCTCTTATTTAAGTGTGTTATCTGACAGAATGCGTTTGTATTTTGGTTGGCCACAAAGCCCAGATGCAATCATCAACCATTTTTTTAAAGTCTCCTTTGAGATTAATTTGAGGGATGTACATCCATGTAAATTATGTGACATGTAATCATAAAAGAATGTAGCATAGGGATCTAAATAGGGATTAAACCCCACTGTTTTCCAATTGGACATGATGACCCTGAAATAACATTTCTATCAGATTTAGGATTAAGTTTAGGGTCCGAGTTATACATTTGGGGATAGAATAAACCAAACTGCAAGAAGCCAGTTTACAGTGATTTAGAAGAGCTATTTTTAGGCACAATGTGGAGCAAAAAGTGTATATAGCTATTAATTCACTGCAAACCATGGATTCATTAAACCAGGTTTCATAAAAAATAGTATTCTTCCGCCAAGCAATGTAGGTCTTCAGCACACAGACGCAGTGATACTGATGTAATGCGGTCACAGGTTCGAACTCGGCTCAACCAATCAGATTCAGAATCAAGGACCGGAACTATCCGTTTTATGAATATTGAATATCATCTTTTCTCTCTGATTTCAACAAAAGATGATGTTCCACGAATCACGATCATGTCCTGTAAAACCACTATCACTTTAAACCACTAAACACAAGCAAAAGATTTGGTCTTCAGAAGTTTCTCTAAGGTAATAAATGTTAAACCCATAGACTGTAAAAAAATTAAACCACTATCGTTTCAAAGTTTTCACTCTTTTTTTACTCAGGGCATTTCTTATTGGCTAGGCAATTTAGGGGGGATAGCTTGTGTTTGTGTGTGAGGATACTTTCGAGAAAAAAAAAACTTGCTCCATGACGACATGAAAAAATAAAATATTCCTTAACTAACGTTATAGCTTCATCATAAAGCTGATTTTAGTGTAAATATGTCGCTGTGTCTTTAAATTTGGAACAATCATACAAAACCAGATACCATAGATAGTTTTTTTTAACCAAAATAAAGTAATAATAATATAAATTAATACAAAATTCACACTAATCAAGTCATTAGGCGAATAGGCTAGACATACAATACAAAATTATGCCATCAAATTCATTTAGAAAAAAACGTTTTTTTCGAGTATTCCATTATTTATATATAAAGAAAGAAAAATACAATAATGAACAAGAAGCAGGATCTGAAAAGACAAACCCAATCCTACCTTCACTGAATGTCTGTGTGAGAGGGGTCTGGATAAACGCTCGATCACACCATCTCTCATCCGATTATTTCCACACAAAGGGGCTATAACTTGTTCTGCAGTCCTGAAATCTGTCAGGCTACATGTTTAGTTTCCTCAAGCTTGCGGTAATGCCCATGCAAGTACAGCAGAAACAGCGAAATGAGGAGTTAGTCCCAGCGCGTGGAGAGAGTGAGAGAGAGAGAGAGAGAGAGAGAGAGAGAGAGAGAGAGAGAGAGAGAGAGAGAGAGAGAGAGAGAGAGAGAGAGCCTGGGGGAGACGCGCGCGCGCACACTCAGATGAAGCTTCAGATGATGGATAGTTATAAAGGTCAGAGGCGATCATATGTCAGGCAGAGACGATTTATGTTATTATTGGAAAGTATCAAACGTATCATAAAAACCTAGGACATGTTCCACTTCTTTTAGATTTCATTTAAGCAATTAGCTACAGTAGGCTAGCAAGTGTTGTTGAAGTATCGCGCGCGGCCAATGCAGTCAGACTGTGTTATATTGCTTTATATAATAATTCAATAAACAAGTCATTAAAATCTAGTAATGTACACTACGTTTCAGACAAATATTGGTTAGTTTACTTTGTTTGTATTTCTTCTCTGCCAATCTCCAAAAGAAGCCCAATCGTCATTGCTCCAGCACGTATGTGGAACGGAGCGATTTCCCCTCCGCTCAAAGTGTGACTCCAGCTGCAGATCCAGTCCGGGGTTTACGTTATAATTAATTATAGAGTGCATTGCAAAAAGTGGTAACCTGATTTTTGTAAGAATTCTTTCTACTTGAGCTAACAGTGATGCAACCTTCTGTTGCTAGATAAACTGAAAACCCAACCACCTTAGCTTTCTTTCAAATAAGGTCTATAAAACCATGAGATAACTAGTCTAGATAGATAGCAGGCCACATATCGGCTATTTTCCAGAAAGTACCACAGGAAAAACCGGGAGGTAGGACAACATCTCTATGGTAACCAGCGGCATCTTGGCAGGGAAAAGGTCTGTGTGGGTCAGTTAACCAGGGTAATATGATTTGCCATGCAGCAGTGTGCTTTAATTCGATCCCTATCAGAGCTCCCTTCCCTCATTCATTTGTACAAAGATCCTTCTATAATGGCATAAAATCACATCATCCGGCTCATGAGAAAGGTACATCTCCAAATCCTCTCAAAGTATATCAGTAAACAGCTTTCAAGCTTCACACAAAGACATCATGAAACAATCCGTCTGTTTGATCATAATTGCACAGAAATATTTGCAGAATACTGAGATATGATGTGAAGTGAAAAGTCCTTGTGTAATTTGATGGTTTGTCACATGGATATAGGCATACTAGCAATGCTCCAACAAACAAGTGTCCCCACAAAAAGTGACTCACTGCCTAGTTTTGCTTATCGAGTTCATCTTCCGTTATTGGAGCTGGCAGAGGTTAGCAAAAGATATTAGAATTCATCAGCTGTGGCAAAGCGTATTATAAGCTTGAAGGAACAGGGAGCGGAAAGGCCTAGACTGCTTTTTGACTGCGTGTGATTTGATTTTATGCTCAGTATTCAGTAAAATAGTGAAAATTGCTGACATGCATTACATTTGGAAATGCAATGAGACTATTCATGAACGTAATCACCTGTTCCTTTGTTCATGACACATTTAAAATGACTGAAAAATATTTGACAGGGCTGTTTTGCACTGGAAATCCCCACTCAGTTTTGAGGACCCATTTGTGCCTCAAAAGATTTGGTAAAACCTAATTATGACATACAAAGTCATATCTATGCGATGAAAAAGAAAATGTTCATTATTATTATTATGACTTTTGTCATAGTACATCATAATTTTGACTTTTTATTTCATAATTAGTGTATAAAGTCAAGTATGACGAGCTGAAATTGAGATAACCAATAAAAACAGATGTCTATTACAAGACATGGCATGAAGTCAATTATGAATATTTAAATTAATACATGAAGACAAAATGACGAGATAAAATGTTGAAATTATGACATCAAATTTTGACTTTTTATCTCATAATCATGACTGTCATAACTATGAAATAGAAAGTCGAAATGACCTACCTAAGTTATAATTATGAGAAAGTCAAAATCACGTCATAAAGTCAATAACGACACATTGAAATTAAATACGTCCAATTAAGATTGACAAAATTGACTAATCAGATATTTTGACAAATTACTAAAACTTTTAATGCCAATAACTGTGACTTAAATCATAATTATAATTTTCTTGTGACAAATGTGGCTGAAATGGGCACAAAAAGTCCAAATTGACCAAAACATGCTTTTTTTCCTTATGTGGCAAACACGGACTTCCAATCTCAGCAATTAAACTTCATTAGCTTAGCGTCCAATGCTAATTTGGTTTCTGCACCATTCAGCTTTTTTCCTCGCGTTTAAATGAGGTAATATTCTTCACTTCTCCAGCTGGTCTTGTTAAGATACCGGGCATCTCAAAGAAAGCTCGTTAAGATGCCATTAACAGTAATTGAACCAAACAAGGAAGATTCAGGACCGACGGAGTGGTGTTAACCTGCACCCTTTCTTGGCCGCTGTTTATGCAGCATGTTACGAATGCACTTGGTTAACTGACATCCTGTTTGAGTAATTTAATATTTCAACATGTTCAGTGGAGCAAGGATCCTCCCACGGAGAATGTTGGGTCAAACTAAATATGCCAAAAGGCAGAAAACAAGCAACAAGAGTGGGCGAAATTGAATGACGGAGTATGTAAAGTTGGAAAATCACTGATCCAGTGAAATGTGTGAAAATCCGTCCACATGTGTATGAGATCGTATCGGAAAAGAAAGTTTGACAAATGTCTTCCCGTCGCAGGTATGGAGCGGCTAAGTTTCTGCAAAAGAGTTGGAGAGTAAATTTGCCCGTAAACTGCACTCAATGTATTCAGACACTGATATTAAATGCAAAATCAATCATCACAAAATAACCAGACACAATTTTCAGTGTATCCTCCTTTTTTTATCACATTTTCTTCTTTGTAAAACATTTTGTTGGTAAAAGAAAAATTCTGAATTGAACACTGAACAGGCAACTTAAATAAAACAAATGTCCAATTGGTTCATAGTGCAAACATAAAAACATACAAAACTTTAGCATTGTCTATGCAAATACATACAAATAAAGAACAATCTGCTGCTGGAGAGGCATTACGATAAAATGAACTAGAGATATATCTGCACTGACTTGTCCTTATGTGTCCTCCGCTGCTTTTATTATATCATTTGATATATTTCTAGGATGTAGCAGCCAAAGAAATGAAAGAACAGAAGGTTAATGAACATAACGAAAGTCCAAAATAGGTTCTGAAACGAACACGCACCGCTTCTGGCTGGTCAGACTGTGTGTTTGGAGCGCCGGTGTAGGACGTTGGCTCCGGCAGACAGGCGCGCAGCTGGTGTCAGGGCTAACGGAGAGGTGTGCTGCCAGAACGGAGAGTGTGGACCCTGTCCCACGGGGACTGGGCTGCTTAAGAACTGCATCATGAACTGGGAAAACGGGGGCTGGACCGGATAGACTGGTACGCCTGGAAAAACTAGGAAAACTGAGCAGTGATTTGCTTTAAATGCAGTGCATTGGAATTTCAAATTTTAACCCATTATTTTCGGTCCACTTTTTTTAAATAAATATTAAAAATAGCCCAAAATAAATGACAAACTCCAAACACATAGTTTTTACTATATATATTTGTTTACTATATATATTTGCATGTTAAATCGATAGCCCTAATATATGCTTTACCTGGATAGATGCAGTTGATCTGGATCGGGCTAGAGGTGTGGGGGCTGGTGCATGTGCTTGAGACGGGCTTTGGTTTAGCTGGAGACACACACATCTGCAGTTCACTCACAGTTTCTTGAACAGGTGGAGGAGACACAATCTCAGGCTATGTAAAAAAAACATGAATACTATTAAACTAACACAATGTCTACAACAGACAAAAGAAAACGGAACCCATTATAATCAGTGATGCCGTCTACGCTGGATGCGGCACGACTACACATTTATAACGGTAAACTGATGACCATTTTATTTACGATACTTGAAGTAATGGATTTGCAACAGTCGCTTTGTTGCGTCTGGTGTGGACAGCTTATAGCTGTTGCGGCATGACGCGACACGGACAGTGTAATGTGGCCAATTTTTAATTACATTCTGTGATGCGCGTTCGTGACTCTCCTGTTCGAACTCATTCATCAAAATGAAAAGTTTTTCCGAGTCATTTGGTTCATTCAACAAACAAAATGAATGAATTGACTTAGAAAAAGATTCGTTCATTTTAATGAATGAGTTTGAACAGGAGATTCACAGAACAGAGCAAGGCGAGCGTTTGAGCTTATAAAACTAAAACATTGTAATTTAGATTTTAAATGAGCGATAAGACCATTATTCATCATCTGGAATCGTTTAAAGCCCTTTGAACAGTTTGCAGTTTGCACTGAAAGTGTCTTTTGGACATTGAACTGTTTGGTTCCCATTGAAGTCCATTATATGGAGAAAAATCCTGGAATGTTTTCATCAAAAACCTTAATTTCTTTTCGACTGAAGAAAGAATGACATGGACATCTTGGATGACATGGGGGTGAGTAAATAATCAGCAAAAGTTTTTGTTTTAAAGTGAACTACTCCTTTAAATTATAATGAGAACATTATTATCGTGTACTTTGAACATGGTTTTAATAGTCAGACTCATGTTTTTTTTTTTTTATTCAGGCTCTCAATTTACATAAAAAATTTGGATTTAGATTAATCTGCCAATATATCACTCATCAGCTTTCAAAAATAAAGCATTATCGGTTGCATTGATCGGTGCATCCCTAATGATGCATTTTATGTCGGAATAAAATGTAAATATATTTGAGAATTGGACCCTAAACTAAAGTGTGACCAAAGTCTTAATTTCATTTTTTTTTTAAATAATAGATATCAACCCTAAAACCGTATTCTGGACAAATGTGGGCAAAATAGTTTTGCTTTATTTTTAAAAAAATATTTCCCTTGATCTGAGCGGTACAAGACTTGGCTACTTTTCTGCTAAGTTTTCCTCCTGAACACACACATTTTTTTAACTCAATTCTACAATGTTAACTGGGTGAAAAAAACAAATCTTGTATTTGGGTCAAAAATGGGCACCCATAGAAATGAATAGGAAAAACTGTAATTTAGAGCATTCTAAAATAAGCCAAAATAAGACAGCAAAGTCACTTCATCTTTTGGTTTTAGCTCTAAGAACTTATTGGAATGATATTTTAACTTAGTTAAAAAATAAAAATACATAGTAATTAATTTACATAGAAAATATGGTACTTTTTGAAGTAAATAAATTCAAAAATACCCCCAAAATAAAAAAAACACCATAAATGAATAGACAAAACTTTATCGAAGACAGTGATATAACATTTATAATAAATAAAAATTAGAATCACACCGAGTCCTATGTGCCCACATATGTCCACAATTACAAGATTAAGTGCTATAAAGTGAATACAGTTTGAGGGCTACGTATTACAGCAAGTATTAAATATTTCAACATATTCAATAATAACAACACAATAAGACTGTTATTTTTAATAAGACATGGCGAAAGCATATTTATAAGCTAGATTCTGACATTTCAACCTGGAAATAGCTGAAAATGACTATTGCACGTCTCCTGTAGAAACTTGCCTTTTCCGATGAACCGTTCAGTCGAATGATTAAGCAGATGAACCTCTGCGGAGAGGCTAATTAACATTCTCATCTAATCAGCGCACAATTAAGATCAACTGCCTCCCAAAGGGCTCAGCGGGAGAACGGGGCTGTAATGGGGAACAATCCGTCAGGAGATTAAATCTCCAGACGCACAGCACAGCACCTCGTGTCATTCTGAGCGACGACTGTGTGCCAAACGAATCCTATCATGAGCAGATTTTACCTCAAAAAACATTTGACACTCAAAAAAGCTGTTGTGTGTACGAGATGGCGTTCTTACTTTCGATTCCTCTTCAGTCTTGACGTCAGGTCTGACATCTGTTTTGTCCTCTGCTGTCCATCCTTGATCCCATTGATTGCTGCTTAATGGGTCTTTACCCTGCAGAGCCTCGAATGGATTTACGTTCTCACTCTGAAAGAACATATGAGGTTTAAGAAGCAAATCCAAAATATTATTGTACATACGTGGAAAAAGACTCACTTCAGCCTCAGCGTTGACGTCAGGAACATTTATACACTCGAGTGCAGGAAGGTCCAGGCTCGGTTCTACATCAGTGGGGGCGAAGTTGGTTTGTCCATTTTCAGAGCTGGAACCCTGGAAAGAGTTCAAAATGAACACTCGCAAATTACAAACTTGATTAGAAAGCTTCTGCACTATAATAGATTGTTTTAATTAAATTGTGACTACTGCTTGCCTCACATTTGGAACGTTTCTTAATAAAAAAATGCTAAATGCTAATCAGACATAAAATAGAGTGTGACAATCATTAGCTATATTATTAGATGTTATTTGTGTGAAAATTCACATCATGACACTGGAAGAAGCTTGATTAAAGTTACCGTTTGAGAGGAGCATGGAGAGCCATTTCCCTCTATATCTGGAGAATAACATGTGGAGGGTGTGAGAGACTCCTTTACATCATCGATCTGATCATCTCCGAAGTAAGACGTCAATGGATTGAACTGCCTTGACGCCTAAAAAGCCAAACGAGAAGAAACAAGCAAGTACTGGAGATCAGATTTCAATCAGGTTTGCCGATAAGTGGGTATAATGAAGATTTGTGTCCAGACCAATCCGTATGCGGTACTGCTGGGAAGGGCGTGGCCCTCTTTCTGTAGGGCGGAGTGAATGTAAACATCCTCCTCCGTGTTGGTGTCGCACAGGAAGAGCAACAGGAAGTCGTTCTGGTAGCTGTGAATGGCAGCCACCAGAGTGCGCTCACAACACATCCGCTGGAAAGAGCTGATAGCACTCTGATTCCAAATGCTCTGAGAAGAAAGCCAAGACATGTTGCTCGTGTTGTTTCAAATACTGACTGGAACACAACAATTGTATTCAGATTCAAAAATAAATGACTCTTGTGTGGCAGGTCTTTTAATTAATTGTTCAAATCAAGACTCGAGTCGAATATTTCCCTATTATATACACTATACATGTGCGAACACATTGTATCAGAAAAACAGTAGGCGAAAACTGATGGACCCTTACTGGATTTATGAATGTCAGTGAAGTGACAACAGATGAAGGTTATTTGTAGGTTATGGATGTATAGATGTAGGTTATATTCAGTTTTCGTTTTATTTTTACCTTAAGTTTTGGTCATTTTTTTGTCACTTTGTAATATATTTTATCTTTATTTTAAGTGATATTTATATTTTATTTGAGCTTAATTTCAATTAACGAAAACAATTTTTAATAGTTTTAGTTAACAATAACAACACTTCTTACCGTGACGGGCCGAACTCCAGCTAACATTGCTGGGACAGCCTGAGCCGGGAGATCAGCGTAACAAGCTCTGGAAAGATTTTCGGATTACACAGAGCAGCAGAGATACAAACATTTGTCCAACTTTAATTTATACTACTACAAATTTGATTTATAACAAATGTTGAATTTACTTGAGAAATCTGAGGCTGTTTCGTTCCACTTTTGTGATGTCTCCGAAGTCGACGTAGTACACCTTTACTTCAGTACTACTGAACACCTCGTGGATCACCACACGGTAGAACCACATGTCTCTTGGGGCCACGCAGCACACCTGACCCGGCCGCACATAGGCATCAGGCAGCCTGTATCTCTCCGCCACGTCTGGGTAGGAGTAACAGCTCCTGCAAACAGTAATTTGGGCATGATTGGAATGACACGCTATGCCTATGCAATCCCAGCCCAAATAATGATGAAATTAGTCAGCGAGATACCTCATTTCAATCATCATGTTCTCCAGGGCTCTGGCCTCCTTGTTTTGGCTGAAGCGGATGTAGAAGTGGCTGGGTGACTCTGTCTGCTCCACCAGGACTGGCACCAGCTCTCTATCTCTCCTGCGAATGGGCGACTTCAGCTTCTGGCAGCGCACCGCGTCTGGAGGAACCGCTGTTACATGACTCACCATCAACTCTGGGAAAAGATCTCCCATCTACGACAAACAGCCACACACGCATTGATTTTTTTGTTTTAGCATATAGAGATATCTATTAGGGCTGTCAAATGATTAATCGCGATTAATCGCATCCAAAATAAAAGTTTGTGTTTACATAATATTTGTGGGTGCACTATTTTGTATATATATATACACATACATACATACATATATAAATACACACATGCTTGGATATTTAAGAAAAAATATTTATATATAAAATATTAATATGTAATATAAATAATATATAAATCTATATGCAGTATATACATGAAAAATAAAATATATATTTTAAATTTTTTTTAAATTTAAATATTTTTTAAAAAATATACTTTTTTTAAATTCAATAAATATAATAAAAATTAATAAATAAAATAAAATTATTAAAAAATTGGGGGTTTTTGTTTAATATATACAGATATCCATCTATATACAGTATATAATTTTTTTGTCATTTAATACGTCATATTTTATTATGTAACATATAGGTTTTATATCTTAGTTTATAATATAAATATAAATTTTACCTGACATTTACAGATCTCGCTTTTATACAGTATATACACACACACACACACACACACATATATATATTATGTCAAATTTATACAGTAATATATATATATATATATATATATATATAGTATATTAGATGTTTTAATGTATAATATAATTTGCAGCATATAATACAACATATACACAGGTTATATAATGTCAAAT